TCGTAGTAGTCGTAATAGTAGTAGTAGTAGTAGTAGTAGTAGTAGTAGTAGCAGTAGTAGTAGTAGTAGTAGTAGTAGTAGTAGTAGTAGTAGTGGTAGTAGTAGTAGTAGTAGTAGTAGTGGTAGTAGTGGTAGTAGTGGTAGTAGTAGTCGTAGTAGTAACCACATGCCCCGATAATAATGTACCCCCCCTTAAGTCGTTAGAGTTTTTTATCGTCGACCAATAAGAGCTTGGTCGGGGGCGCGGGGGCGCGGAGGCCGAACTTCATTATCACGGGAGAAGTTCGCCATCGAGGTTACTTCCTTCTTATGTTGAGATAGCAACATCAAGCGAAGCGAACACGTTGTTTCAGGATGTCTCAAGCGAAACCGATGTCCTGTCCTTCTGTCTCTTTGTAGTTCATTATGTCTCTCTTTCTTTCTTTCTCTGTCTCTCTCTCTCTCTGTCTCTCTACCTCTTTCTCCTCCTCCTCCCTCTGGCGCCCTGAACTTGTTTATCGCTGGAGTTGATTATCCTGGGAAAACGAGGCACGTGAACTACCCTACACGAGAAGATGAAAGTCTCAATTTTCATCAAGCGTTTACAAATTAAATCTAATAAGTTTTAAACTTTGGATTTTCGCTATCTCCTTCTCCTCTCCTCCTCTTGCTCTTTCTCCTCCTCCTCCCTCAAGGATGTCTCAAGCGAAACCGATGTCCTTCTGTCTCTTTGTAGTTCATTATGTCTCTCTTTCTTTCTTTCTCTGCCTCTCTCTCTCTCTGTCTCTCTATCTCTTTCTCCTCCTCCTCCCCCTGGCGCCCTGAACTTGTTTATCGCTGGGGTTGATTATCCTGGGAAAACGACGCACGTGAGCTACCCTACACGAGCAGATGAAAGTTTTAATTTTCATCAAGCGTTTACAAATTAAATATAATACGTTTTAAACTTTGGATTTTTGCTATCTCCTTCTCCTCTCCTCCTCTTGCTCTTTCTCCTCCTCCTCCCTCAAGGATGTCTCAAGCGAAATTAAGCAATACTTGGAAGATGTCTCAAGCGAAACAGACAAATATTTCGAGGATGTCTCAAGCGAAACAAGCAATTCGTTGAGGATGTCTCAACCGAGACAATCCTCAAGATATCTTTTGCTTTTTCCTCTTGATATCTCTTTATGCTGGCTCTGGCGGGCAACTTTTATTATCTCCCCGAACACCCCGAACTTTACTATCCCTGGGGTTTATTCTCCGAGGTTTAGGGTTAGTAGTAGTAGTAGTAGTAGTAGTAGTAGTAGTAGAAGTAGAAGTAGAAGTAGTAGAAGTAGAAGTAGTAATAGTAGTAGTAGTAGTAGTAGTAGTAGTAGTAGTAGTAGTCGTAGTAGTAGTAGTTGTAGTAGTAGTAGTGGTAGTAGTAGTGGTAGTAGTAGTAGTAGTAGTAGTAGTAGTAGTAGTAGTAGTAGTAGTAGTAGTAGTGGTAGTAGTAGTAGTAGTAGTAGTAGAAGGGGTAGTAGTAGTAGTAGTAGTAGTAGTAGTAGTAGTAGTAGTAGTAGTAGTAGTAGTAGTAGTAGTAGTAGTAGTAGTAGTAGTAGTAGTAGTAGTAGTAGTAGTAGTAGTAGTAGTAGTAGTAGTAGTAGTAGTAGTAGTAGTAGTCGTAGTAGTAGTAGTAGTAGTAGTAGTAGTAGTAGTAGTAGTAGTAGTAGTAGTAGTAGTAGTACTAGTAGTAGTAGTAGTCCGCCGATCCGGCGTGTGAGTTTAAGGGGGTGGGGGTGACCGGGGTGGCTTTGCTTGGGAAGGGGAGGGGGGGGTGTCCGGTAGCGTGGGTTCTGGTGGCGCGCGGGGAGGGGGTGGAGGGGGTGTTCAGGTGGCGTGGGTTCTGGTGGCGCGGGGGGGGGTCTGGTGGCGTGGGCTTGTTTTAAAAACCATTGGATTTCCTTAGAAACCGCCTCAGAACGCTTGGTTTGCCGGGGAGGGGGGGCGGGGGAGGGTTCCGGTAGCGTGGGTTCTGGTGGCGTGGAGGTGGGGGGGGGGTCCGGTGGCGTGGGTTCTGGTGGCGTGGGAGGGGGGAGGTTCCAGTGCCGTGGGCTTGCTTTCAAAACCATTGGATTTCCTTAGACATCGCCTCAGAACGCTTGGTTTGCCGAGCAGGGGGGCGGGGGGGGATTCCGGCGGTTTCCGGGGGAATGGAAAGCACCCAGACGAGTTAAGGTGAGGAGAGAAGCGACCAAAAAACAGAAAATGTGTTGTTCGTAATGTTCGCCAACTCTTTGCTAGTTTTCGTCCCGGTCTTTCGGCGCTGCCGCCGCGGCGTCGTCCCAAACATTGGGGACAGACGCAAGCTTCACGCATCCCTGCGAACCTCTCTGAAAATGACGGCCAGACGAGTTCAGGTGTGTGCTTCTGTGCGAGGGTGCGTGCGTGGTGCGTGTCTGCGAGTGTCTGTGCGTGCTAGTGTCTAGCGTGCGCCTGATGTGTCTCTGTATGTGTGTGCGCCGTGTGTGCATTTGGTAGTGTGCGTGCGTGAGGTGTGCGCGTGGTATGTGTATCCGATGGGCGTGTGCGCGCGTGTGTGTTTCCTGAGTGGGCATGTGTGTGTGTGTGGGTGGTGGTGTGTGTGTGCATGTCTGTGGCGCGGTTTGAGTGGCGTGTGTACTAAACTGACATGAGTGTGTGCGGGTGTTCATGTGTACATGGGCGAATACGTGAGTATCGTGGTGGTGGTGGTGTGTGTGTGTGTGTGTGTCCATGTGTGTGTCGGGTGTTTGTGTTCATGTGGGCGTGCGTGCGTGCGTGCGCGCATGTGCACGGTGCTCGCGCGCGAGTGCCAGGCGCGGCGTGTTCGCGCGAGAGACAAACAAACGGTCGGGGGGGTGAGCAGAAACGATCGTGGTAATGTTGAAGAAAATGATCGTGGTGGCGCGTGCGCGCGAGTGCGGAATGGCGCGGCCAGGAACTGGCCAAAGGCAGCGATAAAATAGTGTGCGCGTGTGGCGTATGGAGTGTGTGTGTGTGTGTGAGTGAGTGTGTGTGTGTGTGTGTGTGTGTTTGCGCGTGCGCCCGTAATGTCTGCGTCTGGGGGGTAACCCCGAGCGACCCGGATCGGCCCTCGTGCTTTCAGGTTCAATCCTCATTCGTGGGGGCCTTCAAGGGCCTGGGCCTGGGCCCCAAATTGCCAAATCTTCTCGGGCCCCTGGCATTTTCTTGCATTTTCGGAGCCAAGGGCCCCGCGAGGCCCTCCAGACGGTCTAAAAGGGACCCCCGACGCCGACAAATCGCCCGAAGGTGCCGTAGATGGCCTCGAGATGACCCGAGCTGCCTCCAAGACGCTCCGGGAGGGACCAAGGAGCCTTCCAAGAGAGCGCCAGGAGGCAGGGCTCATTTGGTTCATTCATGTTCCTTCAATTTTTGAAGGAATTTTGGCGCGATCGCCTTTCCCGTTTTCCGACGCTCCAAAACAGCCCATGAGGCCCCCAATGTCGTTCCGAGGCGGCGAAAGCTCCAAGAAGGCAGGACTGCTTGGGAGCGCCCCGAGACTGCCCCGGGGGCGCCCAAGACGGGCCCAGAAGGCCCCAAGATGTCTCCACAAGTGGCCCAAGAGAGGGAACGCGAACCGAAAATCTAAGCTTTCTGCCCCAAGAAGCGTCCAGGAGGCCCCAATAGGCAGGCCCCCGATAAGCGGCCGAAGAACCTCAAACGGCTCCCGAGAGGTCCAAAGGAGCGCCAGCATGCCCCAAAACGTCCCCCAAGAGGCCTCGGAACTGCTTCCGAAAAGCTCCCGATCGGCCCCCCGCGAGATCTCAACGAACGTCCAATGAGCTTCATGCCCGCGACCCAGGCGCGGTGGCGGGATAGGCCGAAGGCCATTTGACCTGCGCCGGCACGGGAACGGACAGAGCGGACCAGGAACTTGCCCGAGATGGCTCACGGCGCCCTTCGCTCTTGGGAGCCTTGGTGGTACGAGCTTGTTACGTCTCCTGGTGTTCAAAGACTTTTACGTTGCCGCTCGCTCTCGGGAGCCTTGGTGTGACGAGCTTTTTACGTCACCGCGCTCTGGGGAGCCTTGGTGTCAGAAGCTTGTTACGTCACCGCTCGCCGATGGGAGCCATGGTGTTCTTGAGCGTCTCTTGGGCCTCGTCGGGGTCTTCTTGGGGCCTTTCTGAAGCCCTTCGAGAACCCTTTTGGAGTAATTGTTGGGCCGTCTTGGGGAACTTTTGGGCCGTCTTGGGCCTGACTTAGCTTTCTGCGTCGTAGCGCTGCGCAAGGCGCGCAGCCCAGGGCCGTGCTTCTAGGTGATGCCATCGAACACCACCTTGGCGTGCTTGCAAGTCTCGTCGAGAGATCCCAGACTTAGCTCGTCTCTGTGCGCGCCGTTGCCACTTGTCCACGCGCGTGGTCCATTAGGTCGTGTCTTGGTGGTCCATGGAACTGTCCAGATCCCCTGGCGCGGGGTCTTATTCAGAGTCGTCAATGTGTCTCGATGAACCGCTGGTCTGCGCCAACTTGAAAGCGGCGGCCATTCCGGGCGCATCGCGACGAATCCGCGACAGCGGTGGGCAGCGTCGACCGGACTGTCGAATCGGCAGCGCCAGGAAGCATGTCCGCACCCAAATCTAAAATCGCGCGTTTCACCGGGTC